GGTAATGATGCATCAAGCTCGCTTGACTGACGGTCACATTCGCTTGCTCCATACCACCTTCCCTTACTAGGTAAAAGTGTGCTTTTTTGGCATGGAGGGAAATAGAAAATATGAGATGGCCATTTGGGGGTGTCCTATGTTTCCCCACTCTTATGCCCCAGCTTTGTAATTTGCACTCCCCACCCACCCATTCATCTACTCCCCCTACCTCTGTTAACAGGAGTGGATCACAATGGGCTTTGGTGCTGCAAAGTGACCTCATGTAAGCCTCTGACATCTCTGCATTTTTGTTTTTGTTTTTGTAAAACTTTTATTTTAAATTCAGGGGTATATGTGCAATGTATTGTATATTTCAAAATAGAAGAGAGGACTTGAAATGTTCCCAACACATAGAAGTGGTAAATACTGAAGATGATGGACACGCAGACACCCTGACTTGATCATGACACATTCTATGCATAACTGATACATAATACTTTTATATATTTATGGGGTACATGTGATACTTTATACCCCACAAATATGTAAAAGTATTATGTATCAATCAAAAAAGTAAAAAACATAAAAAATTTCTAAAAATACACCATGATTCATGTCATGATCCTCCTATTATTGACTGATGAGATTTTTTTCTAAATTTGTGTTATTACGAATAACATTATAAGAAACTTTTTGGTGTGTAATTTCTTGCCTCCAACACTGATTTCTTCTTTGGGAAGGATTACTAGAAGGGAAATTAGTGGACCAATGATGTAAAGGTATAAAGATGTAAAGGCGTTTGATTGCTTTCCCAAGAGGATGAATCTCTACATATCTCCACCCACAGTCTGTGAGAATACCCATGCCAGACAAAGAGAATTATTGCCATCATGAGTATTATAATTCTTTAAAACATTTGCAGTTTGAAAGGAGATGGAATACCTCTCTGTAATATTAATTCCTAATCCTTTGATTACAAATGAGAGCACCTATATTTCCTTTTCTAACCATGGATTTTTAATGAAATGTCATTTGTATATTGCTTTTATTAAAGAAAAATGTAATATTTTATTAAATAATTTAGGATTTGTTTATAAATTTATATGTTGAGATTTTTAATTTCTTCCTTTATCCCTTTGTTCATTCATGAATAATCACCAGGTGCCTACCATGTGCCAGACACTGCTCTGACTAGACCCTGGGAATACTGCTGTGAATAAAATAAAGTCCCTGTCCTGTAGCGGGGTGGTAGGAAGAGAATGGATAAATGATGGTTAGTGCTAAATCAAAGAAGGGGCTACTGAGTACTGGGGAATGCAGTTTACAGTCAGATGGCTAGATAACTCCTCACTAAGATGACTTTCTTAAAGAAAGGGAAATCACAGGGAAATTAACAAATAAGCCATGCAGGAATTTGGAGGAAGTGTTCTATGCAGGAGAAACAGCAAGTGCAAAGTCCCAAGGCAGAAACACATCTGGCGTGTTAGAGGAGGAACAAGGAGGATGGTGTATTTGCAGCAGAGTAAGAAGGGAAAGAAGTAGTTGAAGATGAAGTCAGAGAGATAAATGGAGCCAGAAAATGAGGATTCTTTTGAATCACTCTGAAAACTTTGACCTTCTGCTCAGAATGAGCTGAAAGACATTGGAAGTGTATTAGTCAACTATTATTGCCTAATGCTGCATAACAAGCAATTCCAAATTTTCAATGGTTTGCAAGAACCAACTTTATTTTTCACTTACGATTCTGTGTGTCAATTGTGGAGGCTCTGCTTCAAGCTGAAGATTGGGTTCCTGATGGCTTCAACTGCCTCTGCATTCTGAGATGGAAGCTACCAGAGCATGCTCTGCTAATGGCAGACAGCAGAAAGACAAGAGGGAAAGCTGCCAAACCAGCAAGCATGCTGAAAACCTCTGCTCACATCCATTGGTCAAAGCAAGTCATTTGACCAAGCCCAACATCAGTGGGGTAGAGGTAGAGGAGTAGAGAAGTGAACTGATTTTTATGTTAAAAAATTACTTCTAGACCCACAGACCATCACCAGCCTAAACCGTGTTTAGTCAATAGTCTTTTTCAGATGCAATATCCCACATTCTTCTTAAATATTTAAAAATTGTTAATGATGTAGAAATAGCATAAGTCCTATCACAATTAATATCCTCTCAAACTACTCCTTATCTGTAAAAGCGGAACCCTGGAAGCAGGAAGAGAGAATCATTGCAAACACAAGTTTTCACCTGGCAAGGAAAGAAATAATGCTTCCCCGCTAAAAACCACATTAAGAAATTAGGAGTCCCAGCATCCCACTTGGATATTTATGCAGTAGGTTTGCTGATTTGCCCCTTCTGCCCATTTGGGGAGTAGAAAAATATAACAATTGGCATTATGTTTGGCTAAAAGTAAAAAAATCCCAACTATAAAGGGCTTAAACAAATAAAGTATCTATTCGTCTCAGGCAAAACATATCTAAATAGGCAGTCCAGATTTCGTGATGTCATCGATATCCTAGCCTCTTTCTCTCTTTGCACTCTGCTATCCTTGGCTTGTGGCTTTCATCCTCAGAGTCACAAGATGGACATTACTTCCACATTCTAGGCAAGATGAATGGAGAAAGGGCAACAGGCTAAAGGGGGTCTGCCAGTTCAGTCTGTGGCCTTTAAAAGCATTCCCCAAATCCCTTCCCTATATCCCTTATTAAAGCAAGTGGGAAGGGGTTATGAGTCACTCTTGGGCAGCCAATCCAAAGTGTTTTCAACAGAACAGAGGATAAGTGGAGGGAGATGATAGAACAGAGGGCCCATGCATGAAACAACCAGCGCTCCTACTACTGGGCATGGCAAAGATTATCAAATCTCTGGGGATCGATTGGCACCAGAGCTAGTGATCTGGCTTGAAACTTCTTGCCTAGTGAAGGGCATAGGGCTGGTCTTGCTAAGTGTGCCGTAGTCAGGAATGATCCAATTTCATTTCCTTTTTTTAAAACCAATTTAATTTAAAAAAATTTTAATGGACTTTAATTTTTAGAGAAGTTTTAGATCCATAGCAGAATTGAGGAGAAAATACAGAGTTCTGTTCTGTCATCCTGACCGCACCCATGCAGAGCCTCCTCCACTATTGACATTCTGCACCAGAGTGGGACATGTGTTACAATTGATGACCCTACATTGACATGTCATTCTCACCCAAAATCCATAGTTTACATTACACCTCACTCTCGGTGTTACACTAACGAAGACTCCTGATCCTTGACCAAGCTGTGGTTATGCTCCTCCGAGTCCTCTTCTTGACTAGGCCTCGACCTGGGCCTGCGTCCTGTCCTTGCTGGGCTTGCATCACTCAGTAAGAATCTTGTGGCTGGGCGCGGTGGCTCACGCCTATAATCCCAGCATTTTGGGAGGCTGAGGCGGGAGGATTGCCTGAGCTCAGGAGTTTGAAACCACACTTTGCCACATGGTGAAACCCTGTCTCTACTAAAATACAAAAAAAATTAGCCAGGCATGGTGGTGCATGCCTGTAATCCCAGCTAGTGGGAGGCTGAGGCAGGACAATCGTTTGAACCTGGGAGGTAGAGGTTGCAGTGAGCTGAGATCGCACCACTGCACTCCTGCCTGAGTGACAGAGGGAGACTCTGTCTAAAAAAACAAAAAGAATCTTGCTAGGTCAGTTTAGTGAGAATCCGTGCGCCTCTGAAATCTGATCACTGTTGATGTATGATCAAATTCCGCTTCCCCTACTATTGATATCTGGTCACCCTGGCTTGCCTTTAGCAAGAACCCTAAGTTGGTTTAACAAGAATTCCTCTGCTCTTGATTTCTCCTCTTAGGAATTTTCCACCCACTGATTCCCTTATTCTATTCATGGGCTATGAGTCCTCAGCTGTCTTTGTTATATTGGAATTGAGCCTGAATTCTCTCGTCTGTTGTAGTAAGTCTCAACACCTATCATAATAGTCCTGAATAAAATCTTCATTATTGTTTTAACAAGCATCAGAATAATTTCTTATTTAACAATATAATCTATGGGTTTGGACTATATAAAATGTCATATAATCACCATTATAGTATCATACAGGGTAGTTTCACTGCCCTAAAATTCCTCTATGCTCTGCTTATTCATCCCTCCCTCCCCACTAACCTCTGGCGACCATGGATTATAATAAAGACATC